ATAAGATAAGTTTGAAAACTGACAGAATCTAATTTTAGTATGATTTATTTTATTATTCATGTATTTGATCTAGTATGAATAATTTTACACTTTTTTTGCCTTATAAGCACTGGTAACTTAATACCAAATTGTTAAAGTTTTTAAATTACTAAATAAACGATATGATTTTTAACAATTATTGTAATGATTTATTATAATATTATATAACTATTTGTTTCTTATTATTATTAAAGTCGTCACACAATCAGATTCAACAAGACCTCTTAACAATAAATTATTTTGCAATGATATAAACGACAAAATGGGATTCATCCCAACCATTGATGAGAATTTACCAGTACTCGAAAGATATAATAAGATAATTAAAAAAAATAATTTTATCTAATATTATTATGATTTAAAAAGTAAATATTTGTTTTTCTTATACTTATTTAATTATTTTTTTCAGTACTAATTTAAAAGACTGTAAAACCATGCAAAATAATTTTGTAGTGGTGTTAGTTGCATGTAATATGCCATCATACGCGAAGCCTTAGTTTATCTGTCCTTTGACGTTGCTTTTTTATAATATAAACATTTGCTTCATAATTAAAATTAATTTATGTATGGTGGTCATAGTTCAAAGTCACCGGTTGTGATGGGCTACTTTTTAAAGTTTCTATTTAAAACAAAACAAATCGATAAAAATAAATATATCACAATCATCTAACGGTTGAAAGCATTGTTTAATGAAGTAACTTATCCTTTTATTCCCACGTCTAGATTTTTTAAACAATAACCTCAGAAGTTAGACATAAATTAAAAAATTAGAAGATAAAAATTACATTTCCCATATTTATTTTCTATTGAAAAGAAAACTAGGGGAACAATTTCATTAGGGCTTTATGAATTTTGAATTAATAAGAACTTTTTCTCCCAAAAACTAAACTATCTAGATCAAAATTTGTAATCATAATTTGGTCTACAACACAAGTGAATTAAGTTTTAGCTTCGATGCAGAGCAGCGAAGGTATTTTTATTTAATATTTTTTAACGAAGGTTCTCCTCTGAAGTGGGCTTTTTTGTTGTCTGTATACACTGTAACTTTTTTAATACTGGACCAATTCCTTCGAGTAGCAACTCTATAAATCGCAAATTTCATCTAGTTGGTACTTTGGGGGGGTAAAAGTTGAAAAAGTTTAATTCTTCACAGACGAAAGTTGAAAAAACAAAAAAAAACCGTACGAGTTTTTAAGTTAGAACTTTTACTGGCTATAATTTCGAGAAAAAGAGTCGGATCGAGTTGAAATGTATAAGAAATAATTATTTGGTATGCCCGCACACGTCAGTTGTGTCAAACTTAAACTATACCCATTTCCCACCCCCCTAGGGGGGGTACAAGTTTTTTTGTTTTTCGGGGTTTTTAGCGGTAATTTAAAAACTTTTGGGTTGAAAATTTGCCAGTAGTTGGAACTCATATGTACCCATAACATAATAAACGGGAAAAAAATTCGGCACTACAGTTTTTTTTTAATTGCCGGGAAACTGTGTTTTCGCAGATTTCGTATATTTTAACAAAAACACCTAAAATCTTTAAAAAAAATTGATCAAATCATTAAAACAATTTTATTTATATCTATGCAGAATGATACTATTAGGTTTTGTGCTCAAGTACCACTTTTGACTTAAAGTTTACACAAATAAAATTTTTTTTTTTTTTTTAACTAAAAACCCGGTGTACCAGATGTGAGAAACGAACAGACACTAAAAACTATCAGTTGGTAACGTCTATCCGTGTTAGATTAGGTTAGGGCCCAATGATCGGTATCATAATATTGTGTTTATTACATGATATCACAGGTGACTAAATCGTGTAACTGATTATAGTAGACACTCGATTTATTGGGAAAAAAACCTATCCGTGTACTTATTAAGACACCTAATGATTCTGATACGACAAAACCACTGTCGTTATCTCGTTATTTTATAGCCTGCGTTATATAATCTTACCGAAGGTTATCTATGAGTATATTATGTCCAACTACCTGCAAATAATGAAGAGGACTGTTATTTTTTGGATTCAGATTAAGTGTTGGTTTTTATGCAGTATACCGCCTCAAAATGTTTTTTTTATTACACAATTTTTTTAAAGGAAAACTAATGTTTTGTATATTGTTATACTGTTATTCATTTAAAGAGATTCACGCTTGATTGTTTAAATTGTCTAATATTAGATAATCTGCTTCGTGCTAATTTTAATTTGTTAGTTTATCAACTTGTAGCTCTAATTTTGTATAAAATATTTCATTATTTTATTACTATGTACTATTACTATTAAGATAAATTTTAATAATAATTAAGTCATAAATGATAATACTTTATTTTATGACTAGATCAAATCTCGTGAACATTTAACATCATGATACTGCTCCTATGCTATTATTAAAAAAACACAATTTTTAAAATCTCCATAAATGGTTATTGTTAAATAACAGGCAACAGCCGACTGCTAGTGGCTATACACCTTAGTAATATTTAACTAATAAGTAATATATGTAGGTAAAATGTATTGTTTTCTCCATCACAGTACTAGTATACGATTTATTTTAATTTAAATGTAAGAAAATCGATTTTTCTTTAGAAAATAACAAGAAATTAATATACAGGATGAGGCAGTAAAACGGCGATTTTCTAATGTATTTAAATGGTAAAACCCGTTTCACTATCCCACCCTTTACATTTTAAGGATCTATAAAAAGGTTTTTTTAGTTGCATTTTATTTTGTACATTGTCAATCTAGTAAAATAGAAGTATAATATAGCTTTGAAATAATATAATCTGTGACGTGTAAATAGTTTGTGTGAGATTGCTTTAATGGAAGTATATAATACATAAATATTAATTTTATTGAGAATAAGCGATTATAATTTAAACTATGGAGTACAAACGATTGAAACATGAATTATCCACCATTCCAACTAAATTCAACAAGACATGGTATATGTGTTATTTGGTCCACTATGTTTTTGCAAAAAAAAAAAAACCAGTACAGTGGGGTCGGTGCATAGTGGGGACAGAGCATAGTTGGGTCGGGGCATATTGGGGACGGGGAGGTCACAGGTTTACAGGAATTTTTAAATCTGAAAGTGATAAAATCACTTTCGAAAAAACGCTTCGATGCAAATCGGTAGTTAGTATTTTCAAGCCAGTACAGTCCAAACCAAGCACAGTATAAACCAGCAAAGTTAGAAAGTTTTAAATGAAGGTTCTGTAATTACAAATGAGCATCAAAGCGTTAATTTGAAAGCGATTTTATTCAATTTTATCACTTTTATTTACAATAATTCTTGTAGACCTGTGACCTCTCCGTTTCCTCATTGCTTTGATTACATTATGCCAATACTCTACTGTACTAGTCCTCTCGGATAAAATCACTTTGCTGGTTTATACTGTGCTTGGTTTGGACTGTACTGGCTTGAAAATACTAACTACCGATTTGCATCGAAGCGTTTTTTCGAAAGTGATTTTATCACTTTCAGATTTAAAAATTCCTGTAAACCTGTGACCTCCCCGTCCCCAATATGCCCCGACCCAACTATGCTCCATCCCCACTATGCATCGACCCCACTGTACTGGTTTTTTAATACTGGACCAATTCCTTCGAGTAACAACTTTATAAATCACAAATTTCATCTAGTTGGTACTTTAGGGGGGGCGGGGGGTAAAACTACAAACACGGAGTACCAGACGTGAGAAACGAACAGACGCTAATATATCAAACACTATGATTACTGATTAATCCGGTTACTGGTTATTAATCGTAATCATTAATCAGATTACAATTTGCCTAACACTGGCTGAAATACTGATTTTTGTGGTTAAGAGTTAAAATATTTAATAATTTGATAATATACCTACTCCACAAGTGTTGCCTAAGTTCCTTCTAAACTAATACTTTTTTAGCTAAAATATATTAAAACACTAATTGTGAAGCCGTTGTATGTAGTTAAACCATAAAATGATATATTTCTAAAATATGATACGAAGAATATTTATTAATGGGATAGTTTAATTTGTTAAATTTATAAAAATAAATACACTATAATAAATAATTATTTTAGATTAATTTCATTAATTTCATTAACTGATTTGACCTCAATAATGTGAAAAGAGTGACTAAGTTTTTATTTTTCCTGTACTTTTTAAATTTTCATCTGACACACAGGTCTAAAAGATAAAAATGATTATTAATTAGATTATTAAAAATTTTTTGAATACTCATATAACATATAAAATGAGTATACATAATAGTACATGGACTTTAAATAATATGTCAACAGTGGCGCTGATCAGCATGTCTATGCATTGCAAAGCAACATAATATTACAAGAGTGTGTGGGTGAGTAGTTGCTCTACGGTGGTGGAGCTGGTATGATACTTTTATTCGACTACGCATGTATTACATACAATATAATATAGCATGTGTGTACTAACACTTATGATTTATTTTAGTTTAAATAAATATTATTACTACTCAATAGCAATTACAGTCATACGAGACGTAATTGAATATTACAATTTGCATTAGTACAAATGTATGGGTTAAGGTCATGTTCAGAATGTAAAGATTAAGGCTCCCCTTATAAATTATGCGTCATAGTTAATATGTAAAATAAATAAACAAATGGAAAACTGTTATTTTTTATATCGGTGAGCTAAAACCGAAGAAACAGTGATGTTAACCAAAACCGGAATAAAATATACTAACGGTATTTTAAAATTCATAAGAAACAAAAAAAATTTATACAAAAACGGGATGTTAAATCGAATAGAAATTGATAGAAAATTATAATACTAATCTTCATAATAGAAATTAAAATAAAAAAATTATTCTCCACGGTTTCGAGGTCTGATTTAAATAACCTAACCTGACCTTTTGCATAATTATTATGAATTACTTCTAAAACAAAAGATTTGATCGTTGTTTTTTTTATAGCGGGAAATTATATATTACGATGCAAGTTTTAAGCTACTTTGTTCAGTTAGTACGTGAACAGTGTGACAGTATTATATTTTGTTTAACTTATGAACTCAATGTTCAAGTGAAATTGAAGCTCAAGACCAACAGTATAAAAGGTAGGTAGTGCAATTTAATTTAAAATTGTTTATTTTAAATAAGAGAAAACGTCTCATGTCCATTAGGCATGGGTTTTTGATCAATTAAGTTGAACAAATTAAGAATTCATTCAGAAAAGAAGTTGTTATATCATGTAAACTTTTATTTTTCATAGCCACAAATTGCACAAATGAAAAAAATAGAAAGATAAAAAGAATCTTCTAATTTAGTTAATACATTTTTAAATTGGACAATCAACCCTAATGATATTAGGTCTAATACAATTTTAAGCACATTGTTTCATTGATCAAATATTATTTAAATAATGACCTTTTGCATAAATTCATTTTTTTATGAATTACTATAAAGCAAAGGATTTGATTGTTATTCTTTATAAAGTAAAAAAATCCATATTACTAAGCGAATTTTAGCCTATATCGTTCAGTTCGTAGGTGAACGCTATCACGGTGGCATATATTCCATTCATACAATCAATTTTCAAGAGCATTTCAAGCTCAACAACATCAGCATATAGTGGTGTATATCCATATATTTTGTGTAGTTTAATTTTAATTATTTAAATTTAATATTTGAAATAAGAGATAACTGTTTGACATCGTTTACGTTTTGGTTTTAATCTTTAAGATCACTTTAGCTAAACAAAATATGAATTCTTTCAAAAACGAAGTTGTTATATCGGGCATAAGCGGGAAGTTTCCCGAGTGTAATGGTGCAGACGAATTTAAATCATTATTATTCAACAAAGTCAATGGTGTGACTGATGATACTAGAAGATGGAATCAGAGTAAACGAACAACATTTTATTCCGATATTATTGATGTCTAACAATGTTTTTTTTTTTAATTCACTTATTTAAAAATTACAGAAAATAACCATACACCGTCAGCAACTGGTAAAATTAATAATATCGATGCGTATGACTCAATATATTTCAAAGTTCATTCAAAACTTGCTACCGCTACGGACCCTATAACAAGACTCTTAAATGAGCGAGCAATAGAAGCAATCATCGATGCTGGTATCAGTCCTCATGATTTAAATGGAACGAACACGGCCGTATTTACGAGCGCATTTTTGAGTGAATTTGATAGTACATTATCAGGAGACTTTAAATCATCATTTCTTATGTTGGGAACTGCTAAAACAATGCAAGCCAACCGCATTTCATACACACTAAACTTAACAGGTAAACATATGAAAACAATTATATAAACATATTATAATATGTAAACAATTTATATTACTATAAGGTCAGTAAATATAACGCGAAGGAATAAAACTCCTTAAAATTTGTTATTTTTAACAACCCATTGTTTTCTAATATTTCATTAACTAAAACATACTTTTAATAAATATTTTTTAAATAGGCATATAACTAAGTTACTTAATACCGACTTATAATTAAATTTTTTTTAAATTAAAAAAACCCTATTTTAAATATTAGGTCCAAGTTTTGTAATGGTGAATGGAACCCAGAGCTTGATGCTGGCCAAAAAAATGATCGAATGTGGATATATAGACACAGCAATTGTTGGAGTATGCAATTTGACTACTAATTTTCTGACGCATCAACATTTCAATAAACTGACCAGTTTGACGCAAACAACCCAAACAAAATCATTTAGCGCCGACGGTAAGATAAAATAAATAGATGGTTATTTAGCGAAATCATATATTTATTCTTTTATTTATCTTTGCCTTACACTCCCAACTACATGGCGTCTTCCACCCTAGTTCTACACCTCCATAGAGATCGATCTTTTACATCTTGTTTAATCACCCCAGCTATCTTCATATAACCCTATATTCCATCTATCTATCTTTTCTTTAGTATTCCTCTTCCTTTTTTCATCATTATATTCATCTTTATAACAACTCTCACTGCCTCTGCCTCATTTTTCCTTACAACGTGACCGAACCAAAAGCAGTAGATGATGCAAAAAGACCTGCATTATATTAATCCCAATTATTTAATTAATCCTACTTTATGTAAACTAAATAATTATATAGTACATTGAACTTTTAGCTGATGGATACAATAGATCGGAAGGGTGTATTGTACTGCTACTGCAAAAAGCATCAAATGCAAAACGTTCGTACGGTACGATATTGAGTGTAAAAGCGTTACAGTTTGGCGATCATCAAGGACATATCACCAATCATTCTAAAGACAATTTAAAATCAACCATACTGGAAGCTTACAAAGAGGCTAAAGTAGATCCATCCGCCGTAAATTTCATAGAAGCAAACGGATGTGGAATCAAAGTAAAATACTGAACTCAATAAAACACACATGTACCGATATGTAAATCGTCCATTTTTTATTAAGGCTGAAGACGATCTAGAGCTTAACGTGATGGAAGAAATATTCTGTACCAACCAACGAAAGACACCATTAAAAATAGGGTCTGTAAAAAGTAATATTGGCCATACTGAAGAATGTAGCTTATTTGCATCAATCATCAAAGCCATTATAACGTTTGAAAGTGGTTACATACCGCCAAATATCAATTATTCGACGCCAAATTCAAATATCAAATCTATAAGGAACAAAAAGATGCAAGTAAGTACCTACTTTTTCATTTACATTTAAAAATATAAATATTACTTTCAATAAACGGTCAATTAGATTTAAACTATACCTAATCAATATATTATTTATTTACTCTCATAGGTGGTTACACAAAAGACGCCTTTCAACGATGACATAATCGGAATAACGTCTTTTGGTTATGTTAACGAGTTTAATCACGTTGTACTTAAAAGAAATAATAAGAAAAACCCGAATAAATCAACTGAAAATGTAATACCGCAATTAATTTTGGCTTCTGGAAGAACGAATGAAAATTCCGTAGATACGATAAAAAAGGTAAATTCTAAATACAATCGGTTTACATCGTATTAAATAATTAGTACATAAAATGTTCCATTAAGTTTCCAAAATCATTTCTTTTGTACATTTATTTTTTCAAAGTTTAGTATATCTTTTCAACGAATATCGTATAAATAGTTTTGCTATGCGAATATATGCTTATTATATTTTTTTAGATATTAAAACATGGAAGCAACAAGGAATATATTTCTCTAACACAAAACATTTTTTCAAAAACAATACACGGCCACTATCATAGAAGCTTTGATATTTATCCAAGTTTGAGTTCAGAAGAAACTGCAGAAGCTTGGGTAATTATTGTATCTAAAAACCAAAGCTGTCTTAATAATTATACAAAATTAATTTAGCAATAATTTAGGACCACTTCATCTGTTTAAGTATAGCATTATTTTATTTTAATATTATAGAACGTTACATTAAAAAAAAGACCAGTTTGGTTTGTATTCTCCGGAATGGGTTCGCAATGGCCCGGAATGGGTACAGATTTAATGCGCTTGCCAATATTTGCCGAATCGATCAGAAAAAGTGACGTTGTTTTGCGGTCGAAAGGTATAGATATCATTGATATAATAACAACTGTACAACCAAGTCTATTCGATAATATACTTAACTCGTTTGTGGGAATAGCAGCAATACAAGTACGTGAACGTAGTTGTACTATTGTTCATTATTTATGTTTATTATTATTTTTTAGATAGCTTTAGTGGATGTATTAAATGCATTAGAAATAGTACCAGACGGTATTATTGGACATTCGGTTGGTGAACTAGGCTGTGCATATGCGGATGGTTGTCTAACTGCTGAAGAAATGTTATTGGCTGCATACGCACGTGGCGTTGCGTCTATAGAAACAGATTTAATACCTGGAATGATGGCCGCTATTGGTAATACGGAAATTCTTGTTGTCTAAGTAATACGAGAATAAGTAAATTCAAGCAACACTTATTTTATTCTAGGTGTTGGTTATCATGGAATAAAAAATAGACTGCCGGAAGATATTGACGTAGCTTGTCATAACAGTGCATCAAGCTGTACTATATCTGGTCCAGTTGATAGTGTTAAAAAATTTGTCTCACACTTAACATCTCAAGGTATTTTCGCTAAAACAGTGAATGTAGCAGGAATAGCATATCACAGCAGATACATAAAACCAGCATCTCCCGCTCTTCTGAAATATCTCCAAGAAGTATAACAAACTATTACATGGTTGGGCGGAGCGAAACGGAGCTCTTTACGGAGAAACGAAAATATTTACACATTTCATGTAAAATGTTCTGCTTTTTAAAAATATAGTATAATAATTCCCAAATTTTGGACAACACGAAACAATTAACTTCTTAAATTAATTTCGTAATAACTTTTTGTTATTTAAAAAAAAATCAGTATTTTTTTTTAGAAAGCTGAGATAATTTTACATTAGAAACTGATTTTTAATCATTTATTGTATAATTAAAAAAATTCGTTAAAATAAAAACTGGCAAGTCATAACTTAAAGTACTTTATATGACCATAGCAAAAAAATTTAAAAAAACCTCTGAGAACATTAATTTATTTTGGCTGATATGCAGGGTAAAATACAAGAAAAATTCGCGGGGGTGGTTCTAAAATTTATTCGTATTTGGCGATTGGATCCATTTACATAGTTATTATTATTTTCACGAAGAGAATAGAACACCGTGCTTGACAGTGTATATACTGTACCCAAATTTGTCAGAACTAGGTTAGTTGCATAGCGCGATAGCCATCGCTCCGCCCAACTTTTGTCCACTCTTAGATTACATTGATATTTTTTTAAACATTTTTAAAATACTTAGGTAATTAAAGAACCAAAGGATAGATCTTCTAAATGGATAAGCAGTTCAATTCCGGAGTCTGAATGGAATTCGGATTTAGCCAAACAGTCATCAGCTGAATATCACACCAATAATCTTTTAAGCAGTGTGTTATTCGAGGAAGCTACTAGGCACATACCCAATGACGCTGTTGTTATAGAAATCGCTCCACACGGTCTACTGCAAGCAATTCTAAAACGGTCTTTACCAGAGACAGTGACTAACATACCATTAACAAAAAATGTTTTCGGTCAATCGATCCAATTTTTGCTAAAATCGATTGGAAAGTAAATAAAATATGGTTCAATAATTATCTTATAAACTGCATTTTACTTTTGCATAAGTGTTAAAATAAACTTTAATATAATTTTTTTAGAATGTACACCAACGATATGAACCCAAATATACAGGCACTTTACCCAACAGTTGATTACCCTGTAAGCCGAGGTACTCCCTTTCTTCATACGTTTGCTTTGTGGGATCATTCATTTCAGTGGCCTAATATTAATAAGATGAACTGTGAGGTATTGAATAAAGTGTATAATATTACTCGGTACCAAACTTTATCTTAAGTAGTAGAGTTATAAATATATTCAAAACTAAAGGAATAAAGGCTTTATAATATGTTACAATTTGGTAGAATACATAAATTTGTAGGTAACCCTTTAAATATTATGCATTTATAAATAAACGTATACTTTGCTGTAGCAATTTTCAAAATACCTTAAAACAGCAACAATATATACAGAGTCATTTATGTTGTATTGTAATCATATTAAATTTGAAAAATGTAATATAATAAAATTATATGATAAAATTAATTAAAAAATTAATCATAAACTTTGTTGAAATTATAGTTAAATCGAGAGGCACTTATACAATTGTCTTTAAACGACAATGCAAAATTGATTCAACATAAAATTAATGGACATTATGTTATACCCGTTTCATTCTTCTTGGTAAGTAATCAAAGTTAGTAAATATTTTATGGTGTTTAATATTTTGTACGACTTTTATTTAGTTTAAAGTTTGGGAAAAGTTCTGTGAAATCCATATGAAAAACCCGTTTAATGATACTATTACCTTTCAAAACATCAAAATTAAACAAGATATTGAAATTACACCAAACAGTAAGATTTGTTTAAAATTTAGAATAATAAATAACGTTTTATAAAAAAAATCGAACAAATAGTTACAGATTCGTCGGAAATAATAGATTATATGATCCAATGCTCTGGATTCTTTGAACTTAGCTGGAACGGCACGATTATTCTAACAGGCCAAATAGAGTTCACGACTAAAAAATACTCAATTCCTCAAACACTTGACCATGCAATTGAAAACTCTGAATCATTAATATCGAAAAATGAAATTTACGCCATATTTGAGAAAAAAGGTTATCAGTTAGGAGAACATTTCAAGACAATAAACAATGTAGAACTATTTAAAAATGAAATCCGTGCAAATATAAAATGGAATAACGATTGGTTATATTTTTTGGACTCCTTATTGAAAATATCACTATTAGAGAACGTGAATGCTTCTTTTATCGAGACTACAAAATCAATTCAAGAGATTTGGATTAATCCTACAATACTTCAGAGTTGCAATGATGAAAGTAAGTTAAACGTATTCAAAATTTAAACATATGATACTGATTTATTATAATTATACTATTTCAGGTATACCGACGTATTACAACATAACAACAAAAGAAATCGTTTGTGATGGAGTTAAAATAAGTAATGTAAAAAATACGCATTTAGATTCATATGATCGAGAATCGTCAACCTTAAGATTAGAAAGCAATACGTTTCATTTATACAACCAGTACATAATACAGGTAAAATAATTTAATCATTTTTTAAATTAAAACGTAAAAAAATATTAGTATAAAACATGTTTTGTGAATTTTTTAGGATATCGATGGTTATATTAAAGATTGTATAGAATTTTTGACCGAAATTTGTAAATTTGATGAAAGTAATACTCATCACAAAGTAACTCTATCAGTTCCATATCAATACGACGATCCATTTGTAAAACTCTGTACTAATGCTCTGAAACTCATTTTGAATATCACCACAAACATTGATGTAATTGATTATTGATTACTATGATGTACAATTTTAATTCCTAACATGGTATTTTTATTCTATAATATATTGTGAATTTCTTTGTATTGTCCATAGAACGTATACATGAATTGGGAGGATTTGACAAAACTTTCTAATAATGAGGAATTAGGATCATACATAACAGTATCTAGTATTGATTATTTACAAGATTCTATTGAGGTTTTAGCTAATAGACCAAACAGTTATATATTTATCGTATCAACAAAACGTATAAGGGATGTTAAGGGATGGAAAATGATCAAAGAACAGAAATTTGACAAAAATTACGTATCCTTAATAAAGAAGGTAACACTTAAAATAATAAATGCAATACATATTTTTTTTAAAAACCAAAAAATAATAAGATTACAAATACTTTTTTGCAAAGGTCCATCAAGTGTTTTGGGTTTGTTTAGTAACTAACATATTTGCATTGTTTAAGGTCAATTTTTCAAGCGATGGCAGTATTTTTTTGATGACAAACGCTGGCCAACTGGATTCCAAAATATGGAAATATATAGAAAAATGTAAATCGGATAAAGGAAAAATATACTTAGTATCCACCTCTGTACCACCAGAAGGAATCAATGATTACGTATCGAAAATGTTTCAAACATTTAAGACCCAGAAACTTAGGTAAACGAGTTTTCTCAAAACTAGAGAGTAACAAATATAAACTTAAAATATTTTTCTTTCTTTTAGATTTGTTTTTATTTTGGATTCGGATGCTCCGGAATTACACACAAACAAAACCTTTTATGAAGAACAATTATGTAAAGACTTTATAATAAATACTTATAAAAACGGAGGATGGGGCTCTTACAAAAATTCATTTATCGAAAACATAAAAACGGATGATCGTTGCTCACATCAACTATTTCCCATTTGTCAAATTCCATTAAAGAAGTACATATAACACAAGTATTATTATGCTTTGAGTATCGATACACATTAAAACTTTTATATTCTTAGCACCGATGGCCTGACTATAAAATATCTTGGAATAAATCACAAAAATTTAGTCATTGAGGACGATAATATGGAAGTATGCATTTTTTCTTATAGTTTTATAATATAGATTTGTGAAAAAAAATATTGATTTAGGATGAAATTGGCCCCCTCGAATACTCGGGGACTACTGAAAATGGCAAAGCCGCAATGGGAATTCTATATTATAATAAAACAGAAAATATTCTAACAAAAGATAATTACTTATCTTGGCCTGTACCACCAACTTGGTCGCTACAAGATGCCGTAACAGTTCCGTTACCGTACGCCATGGCAAGTAACTGGAACTCTGTAGTACAATATCTGTATTTAAATAACTAAATTAATTTTTTAGGGGTATTATGTGTTTAATGTATTAAGTAAGTTAGATAAATCAATATCAATATTAATTACTTCTGGTACCCATCCTGTTGGAATAGCAGCTATTTCGATTTGTTTATCTGAAGGATGCAATGTTTACGTTGTTGTTGAAAATAAACAGCAAGTGGACTACCTATCAAATGTCTTTCCTATGGTAAGTCAAGATATATAACGTATTTATTGGAGAATAATATTAATTTAAAACACATTTTTTGCAGTTACGGAGTTCAAATATAATTATAAACGAAAACAACAATTTTGATATAAATGTAAAGATGATTAATAAATCTATAGGAATAGATCGAGTTTTAAATTTCTTAGAAGGTGACGGTCTACAAGCTTCAATACGTTCCATTGCTGATCATGGAAAACTCTTTCATTTTTCTAAATCTGACATGATAAAACAGGAAAATATGGGTGACTTTTACTATTGATTGGTAGAAACTCTTTTTTTTTGCATGAAATCAAATCTAAATTTGATTGTTTTAATTATTAGGAACAAGAATATTTTTAAAAGATTTGTCATTTTATTCAATTACTTCATATATGCTAATGACTGCTTGCAATGAAAACAAACTAGTTATTCAAAAAGCATTCAAAAAAGGACTCAACCAGGGCGTAATTCAATCAATAAATGGAAATGTTGTAAAAATGCCTTTGAACAGTGAAAAATTACTTGATAATTTAAAGTAATTAAAATCGCTTTTATTGTTAATAATTTAAATAAATGTGTCGATAATTAAAAAATCTCATTAAATAATAGACACAGTTCTATTTATCCGAAAAAACTCATTCTACCTATAAACGACGACGATATAAAGTCAAGTGTTATTGATTGTGCAACAAATGGTTCGTATCAATGTCAACCCGATCAAGTTTATGTTGTTATAGGTAGGTAATATATTATAAACTACACATTTTCATTACACTAATTATTGCGTTATTACTCAATAGGTAATAAAAATGAATGGTTGGACGTAGCTGAATGGTTGGTTAACAAAGGAGCACGAAACATCACAATAATGATAAACAAATATTTATTGCCTCCGTCCGGGTGCAGAAGGTATCATAACACATCATATCATTTAATGCCGTTTCTCTTAAGTATTGAACCATATATAACGGTGAAACTTTTCTCGTTAGATTTAACCAACTTTTATCAAAGCACGTAGCAATACACATCGAATCCAATATTTCCATAAAGTCAAAAGAAAGTGCTTTGAATTGGTTTAATCGTTTGACATCATCAAATCAATTTGGCGGAATATTCTTAATCGATCAAGTAAAATAGCCGACTGTGTATAGAATTTTACTGAAGATAAATAAAACTTGTATTTTATAGAATGACGCTGAAAAAGTAAATCAGTTTGGTTATGCCTTTGAGGGGTTGATCAAAAAATCAAAATCGGCTATATTTGTGTGTATTTCTTGTAAAAGTGAGCACGTATGTTCAGCACTAAAATCAAAACGATTGAATGCTTTGAATATGCAATGGAGTGCAACTGCAAAAAAACAACTGTCTATGACGTCATTGTTGACAACGTTGGATTCACTAATCATAAAAGTTCAAGATATGAATTCCGATACTTTTACAGTAGTTAAAGAAAATACGGATCAGTTGGAAGGTAATGATCGTCTTTTATAATTGCGTCACTGTTTCAAAGTTTTAAACAATATGTCAATTTCCTTCAATCGACATTTTACTTCAACTTGTGTTTAGATAAATTTAAAATGTACATTACCTTCATATTATAGGTGACTTAAACAAAACTAACTGTTTATGTGAAATGCCCGATTCCGTTGAAGATTTACTGGAATTTGTCAACAAATTGAACAACGAAGCAGATTTTATAGAAATCCAGACCAAAAGCCCAAGATTTTCGCAGGTTAAAGGAGTAGTGCCGGTGTTTATGATACCGGGTTTTAAAACAAGAGCTATTGAAGTATTGTATGCAAAACTGTATTATCCTACATTTGAAGCACGGATTCCAAAACAAATTATTTCAATTAACGATCTTGCTCAAACTCTCGTTACAGTAAATATATAAATATATTTTTACTAATATCCTACATGACTTTATAATCTTCATTCAGTGAGTCATTCTTTATTTAGAAATTGAAAATAATTTGCAATCACAGCATGATTTCATTGATCGGAGAATCATGGGGCGGAATCATTGCCTTGAAAATGGCTCAGATTTTAGAAGCTCAAGGAACATTAGTATCCGTGTGTTTACTAGAAGGAGATCCAGATACGGTTTATGGATGGGCAAACGAGATCATTTCTAATCCACTTAACAAGGATGTACTAGAAAAAAAATATTTATGGCATTTAATTGAGGTAATAAATATATTTGTTTTTGAGTTAAAATATTTTTTAATTGTTTTAAATAAACAATAACACTATTACATTAAAAACTGCCACTGAAGGGTTGCCATTATTTTACTGTTTTTTTTTTATCTAAAATATTTAAATAATGTCTGACAGGCCAATATTATATCACCTTCGGATAATGATGATTATGCATCACATTTGTTGGAGGACCTGCCATATAAAAATGTTAATAAAGACAGAATCATAGAAGGACTAAGTACAACATTGTCACTACTAAAAGCTTTGATAGAATCAGAGCCGCTACCTTATAAATTACAAGCAAGAGTACAAATATTTAAGTTCAATAGACTATACGACTATGCATCTTCAGTCATTTATGACGTAAGTTAAAAATTATATTTATAAATATTATACAAATCACATATTTTACACTATAATTTATTAATATCTTAATATATTTTACTGTATTTTTCAGTACTGTAATTCTACACCTGTCATAAAAGTCGTCACACAATCAGATTCAACAAGACCTCTTAACAATAAATTATTTTGCAATGATATAAACGACAAAATGGGATTCATCCCAACCATTGATGAGAATTTACCAGTACTCGAAAGATATAATAAGATAAGTTTGAAAACTGACAGAATCTAATTTTAGTATGATTTATTTTATTATTCATGTATTTGATCTAGTATGAATAATTTTACACTTTTTTTGCCTTATAAGCACTGGTAACTTAATACCAAATTGTTAAAGTTTTTAAATTACTAAATAAACGATATGATTTTTAACAATTATTGTAATGATTTATTATAATATTATATAACTATTTGTTTCTTATTATTATTGACAAGTAGAAAAATACAACAAAATATATTACATGCCAAAATAACCATTATACAAATAAATTCTAGTAAATTAAGTGAATATTTTGATAGAAGTAGAATGAAGGGCACACGGAGAATAATTAACTCATTTAATTGTAAGATTAACTAAATGTTTTGGTTTTGGACAAAATATTTGTCAAAGGTAGCTGCGGTATTTACTAAAATTATCAATTTGTCAGTTAATAATATTAATTCATACAAGTTACCATTAAAAACATATTTGTATAAATGAGACATCAATCCATTAATTTCAGTTTACATATATCTGCTAACCTCACATTTCCACGGCTAACTTTTAAAATCACTTCTTCAAAAGCTGGGTATAATTTTTTTTTAATGGAACAAAATATTAGGAGAGCAATTTATTTATTACTTATCCCTAAATACCAACTAGACTAAACTTATAATCAATTTTGGAACTTTGTTAACTTGAACATAAAAAAATACTTTTAGTTTTATAGAAAAAATATTAAATAAAAATTTTACTTTTAAATCAGATTAACAAATTTTCTGTTTTAATACTGTACTAATTTCAATTTTTGTTGGTAATTCAATGAATATTAAATTGATATGTTAATGAAACTAAAAAAAAACTTAATGATAAATATGTATTTTACTTTCATTGAGATGTGCATTCAAATAGAAGAGCAATATATTAATCAACATCTGATTAGTATAACTATGACCTTTCGGCATACATAATTACAGACAAGTTGTCATTGTTTTGTATGGCGTGACGCCTATGTATGATTTTTAACAAATATTGTATCGTGTGTGGACGTTATAAGTGTGATCTCAAAGTTTGGCTATAGGAAAAAAACAATAGTGTTTCCTTGAAAAACATCACTCTACTGTGTTGTCATTACACATTAAATATCCTACTCAAAGCCTAGTTCCACCTAATTCAGTCTCATATTACACTACTCATAGTGTACATAACTTTTGAATAAACAAGATTAAGCTCTCGAATTTCTCTGTTGTACATACACAGAGTCAATTTTACTTTATACTTTTTTGTAGTTAAATAATTTCTACCCATACATATGTGAGCATTTTCATGTTAATTTAAAAAAAAATTAATTATTTTGCAATTTTAAATTTGAGAATAAAGGTTATGAAATCTGGCAATTGTACCAGTGTTTATAATCACTGGCTTTAGGTAAAAATAATTGTTGAGGCCTTTATGTTTTTAAGGACATCTTTATAAAAAAAAAAACCTCCATACAAATAGTTAAATATTATTGTAATGATAATGTGAATGTTCGGCGGTTTCTCTTGGACGCCTTAGGTAGACGAAGCATGCAATCAAACGGACACTGCCGAGTTGCATTCTGGGTTATTGAACCCGCAAGATGTGTGAACGAAAGTTGCCGTATAAGTCATAACGGCGATATGATGGGCGTATGGCGATTTTCGAACAAGTACACTCACCAGCTAAAACCGATCCCAAAACAATTATGGCAGATATCGTCATAGCATAATATGTCTTTAGTAATTTGCATTTGATTATTTTTTTCTTTTTGTTACTCGCATACGTCCAAGCCGCAGGCATAGGTATCTCCGTGTTGTCATGACACCGTTTTTTTGCCGCATATTGATTAAGCATGGGGTTTTGCTTTTGTTGAGAAATTTTGTACACACTGTACTGTAACGATCTGTACTCGGCTTAGAGCCCTGTAGTTGTGCGTACCCGGGTATTGTCTACGATTCAGTTTTCAGCTTATTTTTGAAGAAAAAAGCCACGTATGTACAACAAGCCGGTACACATAATTCCGGAATAAACCGCGTTAAAACTATTCTTTTCAATTTATTATATAGTGTCGTTTAATAAACGCATCTTGTTTTTTTTTTTTAATAGTATGTAACCGGTCACCGACAAACGAGTGCATTTGAGTAAACCTATTGTCGAATTTTGTTGAAAATTAAACAAACATGAGCGTCCCGTTGAAAAGCCAACTGACAATGTGCGATATGATCCCGGATAACCCGACCGAGAGGACCACCGACCAAGGTATTCGCCGTTCCTGTGTCACGTACGACTTGTGTCAGAGACCGGCTAAGGAAGCGGATAATCTATATTCGTTTGTGCAATGGCAAAAACACAATGAAGACCTGCTAAGCCGATCTGCCCAGGGGCACCATCAATCGAGCGTGTAAGTTTTGTGTTCCGGCCGTAGCACGTGCACTACAATAATGGCATCTATGTACCTCCTATATATATATATATAATATACCTAACTACTTTTATTTGAAAACCAGAGTTGAATATAACGTGCAGCGTGCCATCAACACTTTATCTGGGTCCGTGGACAAAGGTATGTTGGACAGCACGAACAAAATCGCAGGCACGGCCAGGAGCATAGACCGGTGGAAAGCGAGCATGTACCAAGCGTTGGAAAATGTACGAAACGAAATAGACCTGCTGTGTTTGGGCCAAAAGAAACTGCAAAAATCCCAAACGGCTTTGGGAGTCATCTGTTCAATATCGACCGAGTGCTTGGACAGACGGTCGTTCAGGTTAGACATGGATCTCGCTTTAGACCCAAGTCAAGTCGAACTCGTTAAGGTGACACATTTCGGTGCACATCGCCATCGCGATTTTATCTAGTTTTCTGTTATCTAACTACATTTACCGTTACTTGCAGGAGAGAGATCTGATCAACGAGATCGGCGAATTAATGTGTCGCACACAAACGCAAATCAACGACCAACTTGACTGCAATAAACGTATAAAACAGCGACTCGAAGAGAATTGGAGTAACAAAAATAGGTCGTTCGAAATAGACGCCATTAATCTAGGACTGAGCATTCATTCGACTTTGATTATGTCACACGACAATGCCGTTAAAGATTCCGAAAGGTGTATTTCACTTAATTGTTTTAATGAAAAATCCGCATCATTATTATTCAAAAATAACGTATATACTACTAGTTCCATAAACTGTAGTTATTTTTTTATACATTTCAATAATATTTTATCGATAATACTCAAGTGTTATGTTATAATGATCTACGTATAAAATCAATGTTGTAGTACTTGTCTGTCGATACCAGAATGGGAAGCGGCCACTCAGAATTTGCACAAAGAAACAGAACAAGTGCTTGAAGATTCGGCTAAGTTAAGATCGCTTTTAGACGATTACGTACTTAAGGGATGCGCAAAAAGATTAAGGGACCAAGCTGACGCAGTAGACATCGCTTTAGCTAGATTTATAGCTAACACACAACAAGTCAGTCAAGCTGTGGAAACCGATTTAAATCAGGTAGTTTTAATTACTTTTACTACGTAAATACACTACTTGAGAATATAGAATACAATTTTCGAATTTTTTTTTAACTTGCATTGTTGTTGTAATTTATAACTATGTATACTTTTAGGATAAAAGAAAAACGCTTTTGGTAATCATTTAATTTGTCTTGAAAACAGGTAGTATACAGACTAGGCGATTCAGAGAAATCACTTGGACATCTTCGCCAGGTCATAACTAATTTAGAAAAAGCCAAAAAAACTGCCGAAACCAGATTGTACAACCGACTGAAACGCCCGGGCGATGAAAACTGCAACGATGCCGCTCAGTCTAGGTAAACTATTTTAGACACAATTTTAAAGTAGACTCTTGGATACCTATAATGTACACCATTTACAACACTTGGCGTTCATCAGACTTGTTAAAGTTATTGTTTTTGGTTTTTTTTTTTAATACAGTCTCATAATGGAAGTTAAGAGTCTGCAAGAGCAACTGGATACGCTCAATCATCAGTTGCGATGTGCTAGGACAGGACACACGGGTTTACAAGATGCACGTTTGCAACTCGAAGACGAGGCTAGGGTCAAACGGAAGACACTGTGGATCGATGGCATAAGATGCCAAAACGTACGCGCGCATTATCCGTCACTCAATGTACTCATTGGCCATTAAAATATAACATAATACACCAGCTAAAATGTGTGACAAGGACCAAATAAACCGATGACTCGACAAATAGTTTTATTAAAAATACCTAGTTCGTTATTGTCAAACAGTTTTGTCAACGCTAATTCATGTGCACGTTCAACACGAGTAGCTATAGTAAAATTTAACAGTAAAAAAAGCAACATTTTTTTTAACCATGAGGTAATTTATTGATGTCCAACGTTAAAAATATGAAATAATTAAATTTATTTATATTGAATATAAAATGTTTACTTTCACTCACATTATCCGATTTGATATTTACAAACACGACCTATCGTCCATAGAAAAGACCGTATATAGATGCGCGGATACCGTTTTTTTAGAGGTACCACAATCTTCGTCTAAACACCGTTGCGGCCGTGTTTAAAAAATAACAAACGGCCAAACGCCGGTGTTTACAAGCGGTCTCAATAGCGGTACAAGCTAGTCGCATATAAGTTTTATTAATACCTACTATTGGATACGGACTACGGTTTATAAATATATATTGGTAAATTCAAAACATACCTATCAGAAACTTACACATGTATATTGAAGTTATTTATTTAATAAATTTCCAAACCCAGACGGTCGTTAGACAAAAGTTATAATTATATATTAAATAACTAATACTCGGTAAACGACACACGTTTATTAAGTTTACTTCTATTTTGCAATTTCTCAATTTTGATCACAATGCTCGCAGATAATTTTTAACATTGTTAACAATTAAGAAATCAATTAAAGTTACAAGAAAGTTCGTGTACTTCGTTGAATCGGTTGAATCGGTTGACTTGTTTTTTGTTTTTTTTTTCAGTTTTCATACACACGTCTTAATCTTCAGTTTATAATCAGCGGTCGGGTTGGGCAAGCTGTCTACGGAAATAAAGATGATCTACTCTTCTTCCGGATTATAAACTCGTTTGGTCAAGTTGAATTCCGAATACATCAAATACACATGCAGACGTCAGACTACGTCTGGCCGGTCGGTACGAAAGTAGATTTAAAAAAATAATACCAACATGATTGCATACATTACAGGTGGCGATTATATATTTATAAAAACTACGAAATGGAGAAGGACGGCTCGGAGGAATTAACGGTCGTTATGGTGTAAATTATGCAAGGAAGCATACAGGCATAATATATAATAATATATAAATACCAAACCCGCCTACGGTGTCCAATGGAGTCGGCAGTAAATAGTGGAATCCTGACAGTACAGTATGAAACTAATGCTCGTGTAGTCGTGAACCTTGTCTCCATTCTGTATTGCGACAACAGTGACCTTCAACTTGGGCCGAAAGTCGCACTCGGTGACATCACCCGGATAGGAAGTTATCTCGCGTTCACGTAGGCCTTTCACCGGTTCGCCGATATATATATATATATATATATATATATATATATATATATGTGTTTATGTATATTTTTTTGAACTTGGTGCACATTGTTGTTGTGGACCGAACGTTAAAAAACAAAATTTAAACGACTTGAAACCAGCAACAGTCATCTAAGGAAACTCAAGTGGCGAAATAGGTCTTGTCCGTGATCTATGAAATCGATAAAATACATAAGACGTGTACTCGTAAACTATACGTCATGGTTTATGCTCGAAATAAGCATAAAAACATACTTACATGATATCATCGAGATCGATATCAATAAATCAGTTTTCCATTAGCGTACATTTCTGGTTTTGTACTTAACATGTATTATACATGCGCTAATTTGTTTACAAAAATCGATACATAACACAAATTTAAAAAAACGCAAGCTTATTTACAGCCAAAATACCTTATTGGAAACAACGACGAATTACATTTTTTCAAAATGTAAGACTACTGAAAATAAAAATTAAGCATTTTTAAGTAATGACAATAAACACTTTTCTCACAAGACGTCATCTGTCTATTTTTTATCTTGTACGTATTATACACAGATTCAAATGTAACATACAAAATGACTACTTGATAGTTTTGTTCAAATAAAGTAATAATATATTATTAAATTATCTAACATTGAACTTTAAAACTATTACTTGGAAATTACACATCAGTTTAATTCAATAAAGTAAACATATGATTATAAGATTTCGTGTAGTCAAATATATATTTTAGTACAATATTTATATAGTTATATAATTGTACGTTTTATAAACTAATACTAGTGTTTTATTTAAGCCCTAAAGGCTAACTCTGTATGATTACATATAAATATATATATATATATATTTTTTACATTTATATTTTACGGAATTTTAAAACAATTACCACGTATAGTTACATAGTTATATAGTCTGGATACAAATGTTCTATACTATTGTAACCCGTTGTATGTATTATGTATAAACAGAATTTTATTATTGCCTTAAAGCCATTTAAAATAATAATAGTTATAAAATCAATATAACCATAATATTTTGATATTTATGTGTATTCAAAACTGGCGAGACAGATTATAGACATTACTTTTTACACACGGTTCTTGTTTAAATAAATTTATTTTTTGTAGTTTAAACTAAAATGTGTAGTTAATCTTTTCCATGGGTATAAATTTCCGCTTTTCTGCAATTGAAATTTCTTTTGCTTATGTTTAAATCTTTTTTTTTTCTATTTATTTATTATTGTTATACAATTATTGACATTATTATTGTATTGTAAAGTTAAACTGTTGTACTAATTTAGTATAAAATATTTGCATTTTTTATAATGCTAAGTTACCATTAAAACTAAGATTGATGCGGTTGCTTAGATATTTTTAAGCCGCTTGGCCATAGGCAAAACCAGTTGATGAATCAGACGTGTAAACTATTAGACTGATGTATTCATTTGTAATACGTCCAATGAACCCGTTCAAAGAATGTAAGTATTAATTAAGAAGCGGGTATCGTCATCTTACAAGCAAATTACTGAAATATTATTGACACAAATTATGAGTAGTGGCGTTGATATTTGATACAATTGGCCTCATACTGATTTGTACATTTTTAGTAAAACATAAACAACATAAAATAATTTCGGCAATTGTGAATTTGAAAATAAAATAACCCACTTGACTAAACTACAATTTTTTAATTAATAATTACGTTGGTAAATCTCCCAATAATTGTATTTAAGGGATTTTTATTTAACTCTTTATAATATAGTTCTGTTTGTTTTATTGTTTATTAGGTAACAACACAACTCCCTTTACAGCTTATCAGTAATTAAATAATCAAACAATTTTTTTTTTCGATTATAACCTAAAAGGATCGCTTGTTTTAAGAACCCTTATTTTAAGAAATACCAATCACGTTTTTTTAGTGAATTAGGTAGAGGTAGAATATAATTCCACCATAATAATTTGTATTTACTCTACAATATATTATTTTATCATATTTTTCGAATAATCGAATTAACTTCAATATTTGTTCATTATATCCATTACGCTTTAGGTGAAGCTTTTTGTTATAGGTGCTATTTATTCCACACTGTGTAAAATATTTTAAATAATTCACTTATTTAAATAAATGATGTCCTTGCTGTTGTTTAACGTTTTTACACATATGTTATGTATAGGTACCACATTCCATGCACATGTTGACACTAATAATTATTATTTTGGTATAGGAATACTACTATTCTCAACACTTTATATTGCTGTGGCCTGTAAGACTATAGAGGCAGACGCCAGACCCCCGTCGTTGCTTATCCGTTTCATTAAAACTACATTGACACCGTCTGCGATTATGTTATAACGATGACCAGAGTCGCTTTTCTCCAAAATCGTCAGACTAAATCATCACAGTATAATGTTTATATTCTTATAAAACAAAACAAAGAACCGTATCAATTTCAATCAATTTGTTATGCTGCAATAAAGTGGAAATTTGCTTTCTGACATTGCTATACACAAATCAATAAGTAGTTCCCGCTTAATTTTATTATTAGCAGCTTTTGAAACTATTAACTTTGTTATATGCAGGGACAGTTAAAAAAATAATAATAATCGAAATGTTCTACCGAATTAACATAAATCATGATAATTGCGATATTGATCACTAAAACACTGTATCAATAGTACTTTAATTAATATATAATGTAGATTCACTCACATTCTTGACTCGGCATAGGTACTGGTTAGTGGCACAAGTGTCGACTCTGGAAAAACAAGTACGATTAATCTAAAATTCCTTAGCACGCGTATTCATTTGAACTATGTGTTAATCCTTTTTTTTTAACTTTTGCATACCAAGGCACGCGTTAAGACAAGAAATCGGAATACCACAAGTCAATGGCGGCCCAATCGTTTCTCTCCCACGCTCGACCCCCAACAATACACGTACCTTAAGGCGTACCTAAAGGTCAATGCATTTTTTCTCGATAACGTGCGTCTGAAATATTGTAATAATGTAATTAAAAATATTATTACAAACATTAGCACAGCGTGGCCAAAGGGGCTTGTCGTTTCCGTCCGTCTGACTTAAGCTCATCATTGCCTCAAAGTAATAATTTTATCACATTCATACACCCCCACCCTCATTGTGGGCAAAATCGCGTTTTGAAATATATTATTAAATGTTGTACAAGTGCTCTATAGAGTATTATTAATATTTAATTATATACTAATGTAAAGTGTTAATTATCGTTTAATAAGCACGATTGCTAATATTATGTTGTTTATTATGCGTCACATGTAAGCACTTGTATTGGATACTAACAAACGCCGATCAACCACACCGAATGGACTTGATACATACGTTTATCTCGCACCATCACAAAACCTTTTGTTCTTGGGTGTTCGGCCGATGTGAACACGCCCGGCTAGAAAATAATTAGCGAATTGCAATAATAATAATGATATCCGCCAAGAGAAAAAGTTAAAAAACAAACTTAGAAAATATTTCTTGTGACCAGTATTTGGTTGAAATAACAAAAAAATGATTATATTTTGGTAATTTTAGAAAAACAATTTAAATAACGTATATCACTTGGGATGTACATGAAGTTGGTCCCCTTCATTATCCCATCAATTCCAAATAAGTGTAAAACTTTTGTAAATTAACTGTAAACAAGTTTTCAGAATTTGTAAATCATTTTTCCTATGCGTTTGCCGTTTTCCAAAATACTTTTTCGGGTGGCCAAATTTACATAGCCCCCCAAATTTAACTCCAAAGTGGTGTCAAAATGTTTGACATTTTCATGTCTTAGCTCTGGCATATAACCGAAAATTGGGAATGGGGTTGGAGTTGGGGGTGGGAATGGGGGCAGGG